AGTCCAGGAGTTTGAGACCAGCCTGGGTAACACAGGGAGATCCCCAGCTCAAACAAACAAACAAACAAAAACCAAAAACATAAAAAGAAACAAGTACAATTAATTTTAATAAAGTTTTATTTAACCCATATCCAAAATATTATTTCAATATGTTAAAATTATTAATGAAATATTTTACATTCTTTTTTCCATACTAAGTCTTTGAAATCCAGGGTGCATTTTACGCTTACAGCACATCTCAATTCAGATGCTTGATTTTCATTCACAATACTTGATCTGTATTTAGATTTCATAGATTTACATGACTAAGTTGTTTCAAAGTAGTGCAACCAAGTCATCTTGGTTTACTGAAGACTGTTCTGGTTTTAAGAGTGAAAGTCTGCCCAGTCATGGTGGCTCACTCCTGTAATCCCAGCACTTTGGGAGGCCTAGACAGGAGGATTGCTTAAGCCCAGGAGTTCGAGACCACCCTGGGCAACATAGCAAGACCTTGTTGCTACAAAAAAATTTAAAAATTGGCCGAATGTGGTGGCATGCACCTGTAGTCACAGTCACTCAGGAGGCTGAGATGTTCAAGGCTACAGCGAGCTTTCATTATGCCACTGCATTCTAGCCTGGGTGACAAAGCAAGACCCTATCTCTTGCACAAATAAATAAAACTGAAAGTCTCATACACTGAAAACCTCCTAGGACCCAGCAAAACCAGGACAGTTGGTCTTCCTCTTCCAAACATCCTTGGACTTTTCCTAATAACTGTATTGCCTATTAGTTTTAAAATTTAAATATAAATGAAGTAAAGTTAAAACTTCAGTTTGTCAAGCCACTAGCTACATTTCTAGTGCTCAGTAGCCACGTTTGGTTGGTTAGTGGCTACCATATTGGAGAGTGTGAATCGGGGAGCGAGGAAGTCCCTTCCTCTTTTCACATGACCAACCTTGGAGGACCTGGGCTTGGTTCTCTTGAGAGAGCTGAGGTTTCATCTCTTGATCCCGAAAGGCTGTGGGATAGGGTCACGGGGTAGAACAGCCACCTTGGCAAGACGAGGGGGACAGAGCAGGACTTAGGAGGCCACTATAAACATCTAGGACAGGATACTTATGTCCTCACATGGAACCATAATGACCAGGATGGAGAGAGGGGCTGGTACAGAAGTGTGCAAGCCACAAAGTCATTAGCACATGGTGGTGATTAGTTATGGGGAGAGGGCACAGGAAGCGAGAGGCAGCAATCTAGGATGAGTCCCTGGTCCACTTCCCCTTCCACCCATGCCCTCCCCATGCCAAACCCACCAGCAGAGTGTTCGGATTATCTACTGCTGCTGAACAAACCAGCCCAAATGGAATGGCTTAAAACAACAGTTTTACTATTATCTCTCACAGTTCTGGAGGTTGATTCGGCTCGAATAGGTGGTCCTTTCTCAGGGTCTCTCATGCGTTTGAAGTCAGATGAAGGCATCCTCACTGCGTGTCTGGTGGTTGATGCTGGCTGTTAGCTGGAACCTCAACTGGGGCTGCTGTTATGGGCCAAATTGTGGCTGCTCCCCCAAATGTATGTTTTATAACTCCAACCCCCAGTACTTCGGAATGTGACTGTATTTGGAGATGGGGTCTTTAAAGAGGTAATTAAGTCAAAATGAGGTCACTAGGGTAAACCCTAATCCAACATGGCTAGGGTCTTTACGAGAAGTGGAGACGAGGACACAGACACATCCAGAAGGAAGGTCATGTGAAGACAAAGGGAGATGGCCACCGTCTACATGCCAAGGAAGGAGGCTTCAGAAGAAATCAGCCCTGCCAACACCTTAATCTTGGGCTTCTAGCCCCCAGAATCATGAGACAACACATTTCTATGGTTTAAGCCATCCAGTCTGTGGTGCTTTGTCACGGCAACCCTAGGAAACGGATACGAATGCCTCCAGGTGGCCTTTGCATGTGGGCCCTGCTTCCCCACAGCACAGCAGGCAAGTTCCAAGGGCAAGCAGCCCAAGAGGTCCAAGTGGAAAGAGTATTGCCCTTTATGACCTGATTTCAGAAGTCATATGGTGTCCTTTCCTCTGCAGCTGCAGTCAAGGCCCACCCTGATTCAAGGGAAGGGAGCACAGATCCACCTCTTAATGGGACGACTGTCAACGTCATGTTGTAAGAAGAGTACATAGAATGGAAAATCTTGTGATGGTGGTCTTGGGAAATACAACGTGCCATACCAGGTTTGCAACTTGAGGGATTGGGGATGGTGTCGTTAACCCAGACAGGGACTACAGGAAGAAGTGGAGAAGTTCTGAGGTGGGCTGGATGTGATGATGTAAGATTTGAACAGACAAGGTTAGCGGAGCCCGTGAACATTTGCGTGGACATAGCCAACCACTAGGAAGCTAGTTATGTGTGCGGGAACCTCGGGAACTATTTCTGAGATGGAAATGTGAATTTGGGGACCATCAACATATTAGAAGCCAGAGATTGGCTTCTCATAGAGTGAGAGAAGATGAGGGTTGAGGGGATTTATCAGCTATCTGTTGCTGCATAATAATCCACTCCAGATCTTAATGGCTAAAAACAACAATTTATTATTTGTCATGTTTCTGTAAGTTAGTTGGGTAGTTCCTCCTCTGGTTTCACCTGGGCTCATTCATGTGGTTGTGTTCAGCTGGACGGTCAGCTGGGAAGTCCCAGATGGTCTCATTCGCGGGTCTGGTAGCTGGTGCAAGCTGCAGCAGGGGCTGGGCTCACCTGGAACAGCTGGCCCTCTCGTGTGGTCTTTCCCCCAGGCTTCTGCACAGCATCATGGTCTCAGCGCAGCATCCCAACAGGGCAAGTCCCAGTGCACAGGACTTAGCAAGCACATTTGCTAATACCTCACTGGCCAAACCTAGAGTCAATGTGGGAGGACTTATCAGGAGACATGATTCATTGGCAGTCACGAGAGTAACAATATACTACAGGAGGAAATACCAGATGGGCCTCCACTCAACTAGGGGTTGGGCAGAGAAGAAACCAAAGTTGGAAACCAGAAGAACCAGAGAAGGACCAGAAGAGTGCAGAGCTAAGGAACCCAGGGAGGAGGGAATGCTACTGGGACAGTGCCCATCCAGCACCAGCGCGATCTTGACAGCCAATGTTTCCTTAAATTCCAGGCCCAAAGTGCCTCACTTGCCTCACTCCAATCCCAGCATGAAACCATCCTCAGGATTTGGCAACCTGGAAGTCAATTTCCTTAACACCCTGACATTAATTTCAGTAGCTGCTGTCACAGAAATCTTAAGCACCAAACACAACTCCGTGAAAGCAATTCTGCAAGTCAAACCAACACAGTCTACATCTGCAAACCCTATAATGGTCTGGCTTGATTAAATAGAAAGCGCACAGTATTTTTAAATGTTTTTGACCAAAACTCACAGTAAAAAATACTTTTTTATCAAGATCTAGTACACACATGCACAGACACACACATATATGCATGCACACACACGCACATGTACACACATGGCCAAAACAAGTTTCCTGAGGCATAGAAAAGATAATAGTATCCTACCTGTACTTTGTGCAACACTATGTCACTTTCTATTTAAATTTTTTATAAGGCCTGTCATTTCCTGCTAAAATGAGTTCCCCAGCTACTACAGGGCCATTCTTGGCCAGCTGATTGAAAAATACTTAGACCATCCCAAGAAGAAGACAGAAAACTGGCCAAATCCTGCCTTGTTTTGTTTCACCTGTTGGTTTTTTGTTGTTGTTGTTGTTTTTAGAAATTGAATTTTATGCCTTCAGGCAGGCCTCCCTTCCCCTGTCCCATTTCCAACTGCCTGACACCCAGCTGCTTCACACATCTGTGTTACTGGTCTGGCCCCTGGATCTGTTTCTGTTTGGGCTTTCTAGATCTCTGGATTCTAACGGCATAGATGGATGCATTAACGCATTCCACAAATATTGAATGAGCGTCCCTCACTTGCCAGTGGCTATTGCTGACGCTGGGATTACAGCAGGGAATAGACAAAAAACACTGCCTTCATGGACCTGAGATCCTACAGGGGAGAGGCAGATAAGCCACAAAAAAAAAAAAAAAAGGAAATCTATTCTTTACTAGCAGGGGATTACATTCTTCAGAGAAAATAAGGTTGGAGGGGATAGGCATGGCTCTAATACCTACCGCAGATCCCGGGCTCTCTTTTGCGGAAAAGAGGGAGCCTCACACGTTCCTGCCTGACAGAGGAGGGCTGAGAGAACACGAGCGAGCACAGCCAATGTTCTCTTCAAAAAGAAGAGTCCCCGGCCTGCCCTAGCAGGTAGACCTGACCCATCACGTCCCCAGATTACTCTGCCAAAGGGCAAAGCACCGTTAACTTTAACCTAGAAAATTTCAAAACCAGCCAGCCATGAAGGGGGAAACTTTGCGGCAGGCGGCATGTTGGCACTGGGCTTGGCTGGCAGCGCGTCCGATTCGTCCCCCGTCCGGGCTTCGCGGTCCCCGCCGCCCTCCCGCGGGACACACGGCCGCCTCACAGGCCCCGCGCACGCGACCCTCCGACCCGGCTACTGCGCCGGCCTCGTCCCTCGCTCACGTTTTCCGCGGCCACAAAGCCAAACTGCGCCCGGCGGGGCTGTCACGCTCCCGAGCCCCGGGCCCGCGCCCCCGCCCCCGTCCCCAGCACCCCTTTCGGTTTGCTCGTCTGCTCCGTAATTACCGATTTCTCTACCTCTCTCCCTCCCAGGCTCGGGCCTCCTCGGGCGCTGGAGCTGTCGGGGGCACTCGCGGCACCCCAGTCGCCTAGACCCGAGCTCGAGCGACCCGGAGCGCCCCGGGGCTCGCGCCGGCTCCCAGCGCCCCGCTCGCCCTCAGCCTCCCGCGCTGGGGCCGCGGCTCCCCCAGGTCGGCGGCCCGGCTGCCCCGGGCCGCCCAGCCCCCGACCACGCAGGCGGCGCGGACTACAAGTCCCGGCAGGCCGCGCGCCGCGCATGCGCAGCGGGCCGGCGCTTGAGTGGCAAGTTGTTTGTTTCAGCGAGCACCAGCTGCTCCCCGCGCCCGGCGCCGCGCGCCGCCGCTCCGCTGCCCGGCCGCTCGGCTGCTCCGCCGGCGCCGCCGCCTCGCCCGCCGCGGCCCCTCGCAACTTGGCTGGCCTCGCCTTTGTCCGGCCCGGCCCGGCCGCCGCCTCCCGCCCGGCGCCGAGCTCCCGGTCCCCGGGCCGGCTGCCCGTGGCGGCTCGGAGCCGGCTGGGCGCGGAGGGGGCGGGGGCCGCGGCTCGCCCCCCGCCGATGAGCCGCCGCGGAGCGCGGGCGGACGATGGAACTCCACATCCTGGAGCACCGGCTGCAAGTTGCCAGCGTCGCCAAGGAGAGTATCCCGCTCTTCACCTACGGCCTGATCAAACTTGCCTTCCTGTCCTCCAAGACCAGGTGAGCGCGCGGGGACGCGGAGCCGGCCGGGGAGAGACAAAGAGGCGCACCCCGGGCGGCTGTCCTCGCCGCCGCGCCTCGGAAAACAACTTCGGGCCCCCGGAGCGCCCCCGCCCCGCCCCCGGCCGCCGCCGCTCGCCCGCTCCTGACAGAGCCCCCCCGCCT